CATTAGTTTGCCCTATTGGGTGAGCATTATTAAGCAAGTTTGAGTCCTGTCTCATTCCAACCCGATCTCATGAATGTGCGTATCAATTGCTCGAGTTTATGTTTCGATTTGGCGTACTGTTTATACGCAGAAATTGATCAAATTGCATATGATACGCAATGGGTATAGGATTAGCGCTGTGGGGTAAATGCGTGTCATATGCACGCCAAAGTCAATTTTTGCGTATCAATACCCCGATTTTCTGTTTTTATTTGGCGTACTATTTATACGCATTTTCATGAGATGTTCGTCTTACCTTTAAGACATCCCTGTCCTCGGTGGTTAAGGCTGTGTTTTGTAGCGGGAAGGCGCCCATGAGCTGAACGCTGAAGAGCAAGAGAAGGCCGACTAGAGGAATGTCAATCGAGTTCATGTTTCCTGATGTTTTTGCTGCTCTTCTGTCTCGTTTGTCGTTGTCTGTATACTCTCTCAGCGGAGCCTCGAGCTCTTTTATACTTTAAAGTTTGACACGCCAGTTATGTGAAGAATGGCGGTGCATTCCGACACCTCAGTCTGATAAAGGCTGCTGTCGGAAATCAGTCATTTAAAGCTTATAGACGAGTCCAAATGGGCCATACAGTGACGGGAACACCTTCATGATTTCATTATACCCCTGTTCCCTGAAATCATTCACATCAAGTGGCTTGCATGGCACTTTAAGGCAAGTTACAGTAGGCTACATATACGCTTTATCTGCATAATAATTAATAATGTCACTAACAAACACTGTATAATGTTAGAGTGAGCAGTTTATAGGCTGAACATATATTAAAATACTCCAGAGTTCAATATAACCATATCACATTATAATTTGAAATAGCTTATTATATATTCAGTGAAAACTCATGGTGCATGTGTTCAGGTAAATTTTGAAAAAAAAAAGAAAGAAACGAGAAAAAAAGATTTCGGAAACAAAGGCATGTGTAAACATTTATTACGACTGATCTGAATGACAATTAAATTAAATATGCATATACATATATAACTGGACTATTTAAACAATTTAATAAATATCAAAATAAATATGCATGGTTAAGAACAATTTCTGGAGTCATAGATAATAACAGTAAAAAAAAAAAAAATTTGTCAGGTAACCTAGAAATGTGCTTTGATAGTAATATCTTGTTTTTTTGTTGATGTCAAAAATATAATTTAATATGACTAAATCAACCTGAATACATTAGGTTACACCAACAAAAGTCATTGTAAGGTCAGATCAAGTAGAAATAACTCTTTAAAGTAACACCAGCACTAAAAGTTTAACTTTTTTTTTGCAGTGTAGAAGCTCCTAATCATTAAGACTTCACCACTTCTTAGAACCTGGAAAAAGAGAAAACAAGAGAATGTGTAAGTTAGTGGACCATAAACCTGTATGTTAATATCATTTCTGTAAATTAGCGTGTCGAGGAAACTAACTATTATAAATTGTTGTCTAGAAACAGTTCTTTATTTTTGTATTCAAAGTATGTTATGTCCATATTAACCGTGCGATACGTAAATGAAGTGGTTACCTGAGCGTCCGGCGGTGTTGCAGCCCAGGGACGACATGGAGCCGATTCTGTCCAGTTTGCGCCCGAAACACCCGGAATATCTCTTGGAGTCCTGCCGGACCGTCCTCAGGTCCCGAGCAGACAGATAGTCCCTCATGTCAGTCTTAGATTGAGGTTCAACACGGGTTTCTTCAGGATTATCCTCCTCTTCTTCCACTTTCATCAGTGTTTGTTCTTGAGAAGAAGCGGGAATGGACTCCTCCAGTCGCTGTAGAAGAAGCTAAAAGGGCCGCATGTGGCTCATTAGTTTGCCCTATTGGGTGAGCATTATTAAGCAAGTTTGAGTCCTGTCTCATTCCAACCCGATCTCATGAATGTGCGTATCAATTGCTCGAGTTTATGTTTCGATTTGGCGTACTGTTTATACGCAGAAATTGATCAAATTGCATATGATACGCAATGGGTATAGGATTAGCGCTGTGGGGTAAATGCGTGTCATATGCACGCCAAAGTCAATTTTTGCGTATCAATACCCCGATTTTCTGTTTTTATTTGGCGTACTATTTATACGCATTTTCATGAGATGTTCGTCTTACCTTTAAGACATCCCTGTCCTCGGTGGTTAAGGCTGTGTTTTGTAGCGGGAAGGCGCCCATGAGCTGAACGCTGAAGAGCAAGAGAAGGCCGACTAGAGGAATGTCAATCGAGTTCATGTTTCCTGATGTTTTTGCTGCTCTTCTGTCTCGTTTGTCGTTGTCTGTATACTCTCTCAGCGGAGCCTCGAGCTCTTTTATACTTTAAAGTTTGACACGCCAGTTATGTGAAGAATGGCGGTGCATTCCGACACCTCAGTCTGATAAAGGCTGCTGTCGGAAATCAGTCATTTAAAGCTTATAGACGAGTCCAAATGGGCCATACAGTGACGGGAACACCTTCATGATTTCATTATACCCCTGTTCCCTGAAATCATTCACATCAAGTGGCTTGCATGGCACTTTAAGGCAAGTTACAGTAGGCTACATATACGCTTTATCTGCATAATAATTAATAATGTCACTAACAAACACTGTATAATGTTAGAGTGAGCAGTTTATAGGCTGAACATATATTAAAATACATTAATAAGTATTAACTGTGAACATTAATCAATGGTTTCAAGATTCAGTCACACTTTATTTTAAGGTCCAAGTCTTGCTATTAACAATTAACTATGACTTTTGCCTCAATAAACTCCTAATTTGCTACTTATTAATAGTTAGTAAGGTAGTTGTTAAGTTTAGGTATGATTAGGGATGTAGAATATCATGCAGAATGCGCTTTATATAAGCACCAATAAACAGCCAATGGCTATGCTAGTAATATGCATGCTAATAAGCAAATAGTTAATAGTGAGAATTGGTCCGATAATGAGAAGTGTTACCGATAATTCATACGATTTCAATCAGACGGAGCTTCATGCATATTTATACAAATCTTAAGATTTTTATACGAAATCGCCAGTTTGTAAAATAGTTTTATGAGATCGGGTTGACTTTTTAATTTTATATATATTTGTGCACATTTGGACCAGCTGTTACTATGCTGATGTACTGTCAACTAGAAAGATCTCATTGAGAATTGAAACACTGGTAAAGCATATGAAAGTAGGAAAGAGGAGGATAGCAATAAATGTTTATTAAGACACTATGGGTGCAATGTATGTTCCAAATATATTTGTATAAACGTAGAGTATATAGAAAATGATTAGATGCAGGCCTCACTCTTAAAAAAATTAAGGTTCTTTATTGGCATCAGTGGTTTCATGAACAACCTTTAACATCCATTGTAACCTTTCCATTGCACAAAAGGTTCATTATAGTGGAAAAAGGTTCTTGAGAAAATTAAAATATTCTTCACACTATAAGACTAAAACAGTTCTTTTAAGAACTGCTCACTGAAAAGTTCTTTGGGGAATCCCAAATGGTCCCGTTTGGTCCCGGGGTAACCTATCTGTAGTTTAGGATTACATGTGTATCACAGAGCTGATTTAAAGTACTGGAATCACTGATTTAACTTAATTTCCAGTTCATAACAAATATGGGAAAACAGGTCAACAGAGTTACGGTTAGGGTTTATTACTTATTAAGACACTCATGCGTACTGTACAGATGGCTTGCATCGTTAGTGGGGATTACCAATTGTCCCAGTTACAGTGTTTTAATGATTGTTTTCATATAAATCAAGCATCTTAAGAACACAATGCCTGAGTCCTCTTCTCTTCATGTCTCATTCTCAAGATCATTTCAGTGTTTCAGTTTTTTTGTGCTCAAATCGTCTGTTGCTTTTCAGGTTGTTCTCGGAATCCAACACGCTCTCACTCCCAACTCGTGAAATACTTTTCAATCATTTCTACTTTTACAAACCCATTTAAAGAATTAAATACGTCTGGACATGACGCACAGAGCAAACAACTGAGAGCAGTGGGGTTCCCTACACGTTGAAAAATGACGCTAAAGGGGCACCCAGTGCATAAAAACTGACGCCAAGGGGTCCTGAAAGAGTCCATAAGCGACGAGATGGGAGTGAGAACGTGTTAGAGCCTATATCGGCAAACAAACTATAGGCTGGATTATATAACACCTAAAATTGAATGACAATAAAGGAAAGTTTCATTGTGAAAAAATTAATATCGTAAACGCTTAGTCAATGTATGTTACTTTACTTTTTCTAGTATTTTGTTTGTTTCTGGGTCATGCCTAAATTCAATAGATCTCACCAACAGATATTTATTTATGTCAATAAATGATCCATGTGATCACAATAAATTGGACTATAGCTCCAGCATACACTGTAAAATGCTTATCATTAAAGTCATTTTTTTCATGGAAATCTGAATAAAAGTTTCATTCGTCAAAAACTGACGTACCTTATGTTAGCTCAGGTAGAAATAGACCCTAATGGGCATCTTGGCACTTTTGAATCATTGATTCATGGTAAAAGTTAATACTAAAAATATAATGTAATTTATTTTGCAAGGAGCAAAACTATGTTTTAATTTTAGTTTTTGATTTTTGCCTGAATGGGTTTCTTTATGTCTATTTTAACGAACAAAAAAATTACATATGCATCATGTTAATGCATTATGTTAGCATATATGCATTAATTTACCTTCTAAGTTCATTGTCAAATTTACTCACTTTAGTTTTAGACCACAGTGACTCACACGTTATGCAAAATATTTATTTTGCAGCAATATACATTGTCTATAACACGAATGGGTTTATAGAGGACATAAATAAATACATAAATAAATAAATAAATAGATGCAACGGTACAAAGCAGCAGCCATGGAATCTTCAAATACAAACTATTTACATGTCTACAGCTTAAATAAATAATGGCCAACACATACAGCATCACCTGAACACAAATCTACGGTAAACGTTCAGTCAACACTTCTTCTTCTTTTTTTTTTTTTATCGAAGATGTGCCTGCCAAAGTGTGTCAAGTATTTCAAAGTCCCAACCTGCAAGAAGTGACATGACATGAAGTAATAAGACATGACTTATTTTATTTCTAATACGCGTTTGCACAATGTTCCATGTTTATATTTCGCCAACATCTCCTAACAAACCTCCGCTTAACACCCGAGTCCGCTAAAAGACCCGATTCTTTCGAGTCTGACCCCAAAGCAGCTCCTCAGCCCGCCTTTCTTGAATCGACTCCAGGAGCGCTTGGAAGTGGACAGTAAATCGCCTAGAAGACGTTCGATGGCGCTATCTTTTCCAGCCAGCGCTGAGTTGCGCGCATCTGAATCCCACATTTGCTCATCCAGCGCGCTCTTCTCGGATCTCGCATCTTTCTGCTCCATCACCGACTCCTCCGACTCCACAAACGGCGTGTTCACTTCTTCATCTAACAACTGCTTAAGACTCTGCTATAAAATATGCATACATGCATGATTAGTCAGAGTCTAATAAACGTTTAAGAGTGAGCTAAGACTGGAAGACTCACCTGTAAGCTGGTGACTGGTTTGGCACCGACCAAGTTTAAAAGTAGAAGTGAAGACAGGCAGAAAATAGAGATGTTATTGGCGATCATCGTTGCTGAAGTGGTCTGGATGTGGTGGCTGTGTGCGGCTGCCTTGACTCTTCACTCGTACCCAAGCACCGTGTCCAGGTGCGCGCTTTTATTTCGCCAGGAAGCAAGAGCAAACCCTACGGGGAGGGTTCTTCATTTTCATCAGGGTCCCACCTCGTTGACCGACCATTACAATGGTGACGTGCAGGAGGCTCCTTCTAATTGTCAAAGCATTAGATGTTAAGTGCGCAGAACATCATCTCGTGTTTTATCATGGAGGTATACAGTCCATAGCCTCCGTGCGCACTTACACTCGTCTCATCCCAGTGTTTCTTACAGAAAGCTCTATCCAAATCAGTGTACAGCATTTTATCCAACACTTTGTGCATTTAGTTCAAGGCTTACACACATTGCCAATGCAAGTTACCTTAAGATTAAAAAATAGAATGTTTTACTTGGACAGAAGCTGCCAAGTGTTTGGATTTTTTCATTCACAATACCTATGTTTTTAAAATCACTCAGCATTGAAAAAGTCAACATGTGACCGAAACGTTTGCCTTGTTTTTTTCAGTAAACTTTTATCTGTGATTTTTGGTGAAGTGTGCAGACTTTTTTTTTTTTTCTAGTATTTTATTTTTTGGGAAACTTCTTTTGGTCTACGCACCTTGGTTGGACTGTTTTGAAGGCATGGTGAGTTTCTGGCTGTTTTCCTGTTCTTAAAATGAGGCATGAAGCAAAACCTCCCTCTGGTTAGCTAGAACCTCATTTTGACTTAAGAAGAGACTGTTTCATTAACTCTGAAAAACACTGCAGTATATGAAGGTTTTGAAGGCAGCATAGATGCATCCTTCATATACATATGACATCCCACGGTCCTGTAATTTTTTATTTCCCCCCCAAATTGTTTCATTTCTACAGAGAAATAATCATTGTAGTTGAATTTGTTCTAGATCATTAGAGGTGACACCATGACGCCTTGGAAGCCAGCCTGAGTTTCCTTAGGAGGTAAAGCCATTGTCTGTCAGTTCAGTTTGATGGATTTCATGCAGGCAGTGTGTGGTTAACTCACAGTCTGGGAAAGTCTTCTCAAAAGAGATCCCTCGCTTATTCTCAAGGCGATGTGAATGCACAGCAGTGGGATTTTTATGTCGTGATGCAAAAGTTTCTTTACACACAAAGATTACCCAACAAAACAGAAGAAATGTCTCTTCAGAAAGCTTCAAACAATAGAAAGAACCACAGAATCCAAGTTTTACGCTGATTTTCCCATATGTATGACAGGCTTTGTGGCCACCTGTATTACCAAATAATACCAAATAATTTACCAAAATGTTTGAAACACATTGAGACTCCAACCACAAAAAAATGTACAACACAAATCTCACTACAATGGAAATCAATCAGATTTTTCAGCCAATGAGAAAATGCTTTCTAATTTTCTCAAAAAGTGTAAACACCATGACTTTGCGGCTCTATCAAAATGCCGTCTTTGGTTCTGGGACTGGCATAGCAACATTGTCTCTCTCAGCCAATAGGGAGAGTTTGTGGTGAGACCATGCGACCAATGGCAGACAGTTTGGGAAACCTGTTTGAAAACAAGCATTGTTTTCACATTTGCTTTGGTGACGCCAGTGGCTCAGAAATGACACACTTCAGCTTTAACCCATCGTTGTCCCTCATTACTTTCACATTGTCTGCTGGCTGCATTTATTATATTCTCTCATATTTCATTCGGGCAGCTCTTAACTTCGAGCACAGTTCACTGAGCACGGCTCTTTCCCTGATGAGAAGCCAATGGGGCTAATTAAGATTTTAATGACAGGCTGCACTGCAGTCTGTTCCAAATGTCATTTATTTGCTAAAGATATCATATTCATAATGTGTTACAAAAAAAGATAAAAAATAAGATCAGCAAAATCGTAATAATTCAGTATTTAGAATTACTTTATTTTGTTGTCCTTTTAAAAAATGTCCAATTCCAACATAAGCCATTTCAACATCACAATTAGTCTTTAAAATGTTTATAGCCACATGTCATTAGGCTTGCAGAGGGAACTATATCTTCCAGATGGCCTCCGACCTGTTTTCCTAATAGCTGTGCTAGATGCCGATGGCCGCTAAAATGCTAATCAGTCCCTGTTTGCCTTCATACTGTGCTCCAGTGGAAAGCTAGCAAGAGATCATCAGTCAAGCCCTGGCCACCTGTCCTCCTCATGCTGGGTGGAAACCAGCCTCGGGCCTTTATTGGTTTGAGCCAGGCCTCTCGTGATGTTCAACCCAAACCTGAGTATAGCCATCCTTCCTTGTTAGAAGGATGAGATGCAGTTATCTTCAAGTTTCTACCTCTGCCTCCCTTGATTTTGCCATGAGTCTCAAATGGAAATGTTTACAGGCTTTAGCTGCTCACACGCTGCATGTTTGAGATCACTCTTCACAAAAGCAGTTTAGCTAAAGGATCAAAACAAGTAAAAGACAAGTTTTTTTTTTTTTGAGACAAAGACTGTAGTTGTTTCTCCTGTGAAGTATTATTAGTGGCGTTTGCTGCGAGCATTACTTATTTTTCAGAGGGTTATTGATTTCAGCAAACTCCTAACATCAAATCTAGCTATTATTAACTTGCAACATGCTAAGAACATCAATGATGTGACTTGCTAAGGACGGATAGTACTTGTCAATGTGATCTGACCTAGGTTTTGAACCCTAGGGGTAATAAAACAGAAATACCCCATTCCGATAGCTAGCTAGATAGATAGATAGATAGATAGATGTGCGATTTATTAATAAAAAATATAATTTATTTATTTTCTTATTTATTATAAAGACCATATTATTTATGTATTTGTTTGTTTGATTATTTATTTATTTATTTATTGGCTATTTACAACTTCATTTTACCTAAATTCGCTTTAATAGGAAGGTATAATTTTCACTGATGATAAAACAACATTTTGTTAGTCCAATTATTACAATTACAAATTATTACAAGTTTAATTTAGTTTACTTACTACAAATGAAAAACCTTAATGTGCGCGCACGCACACACACTAAAATAAAATATAATAGAATAGAATTGAATAGAATTGAATTGAATCGAATGAAATTGAATATAGTAGA